ACAGCAACCTTTATTTTTTGCTAAACTTTCAATAATCATCATTAATTTAATCTGTTGAGGATTTTGCTTGCATCCGAGAGAAAAAGATTCCACTGTGATTATCACATTGAAACCTCTCAATGGCAGTACTAACGTTTAGATTGAATTAAAAAAATGTTGATAGTGGAATATACTATTATCGTGCACTACCGTACTGTTATTAGCGGTATTTTGTGATTGTCAATGAAGTATAAGTAAATGGCCATTAGTACACCAGGCTGTTTATATCTGTTTTGATATAGGAAAATAATAATAATAATAATAATAATAATAAAGAGATTACAAGAGATCACTTGATGAAACGTAAACAAAATAATGATTTTATTTTAGATGTGTGGAAGAAAACAATGTAGAATCGTTTTTGTTATTTCGTTTATTTTGAATTTCTAATAACACCACCTTTATATAATCAATAAGTAGTCGTCTACAGGTATAGGATAAATTCATGAAAATTTGCTGTATTTTTTTGCTTCGTCTTATCTAAAGGTCGACTTATACACGGAAATATACGGTAACTGAAAGATATTCTTTAACAGTTTTCAAAATAAACGCGAAGAAAAACGAAACTCTTAGGAACTGAAATGAGCAGGGATATTGGGTTGTCTTGGTGCAACTGGTTCACGCCCCTCCCCGGTCTTTTGAACAGGTGTAGACGTTTATCACTTGTTTCATGTTTAGGATTGGGTTTCCTGTTCCTTCTAAATTCATCTCATTCTCTTTCACTCCCAGTAGCAATAAATGAATGACAACAATATTTCTGAAAAACGTGTCTTTCAAATTCGCTAAATCACTTCGAAAATGAAACAAAATTGGTACGCAATTAAGGCTTTACAAGATGCCGAAGACATATCTATTATAACGTCCTTTTACCAAAACTTGAAGGGCATTTTTGATCTCACCTCACACAGATCAATACCTCTTCTCTCATATAACAGTGCCTTATTAAAAGATAAAAGTGGCATCATTAAACGATAGACTGGACAATTCTCTAGGCACAAACGTAGATACGGTAGCTATTGACAGTTTTGCGCAGACACCAATTTAGGATACTTTGTCAGCTAGTCCTACTACTTCTGAAGTTCTCGGAGTAATAAAACAACTTTCTAATTATGAAATCCCAGGAGGTACTGGAATAAAATCTGAAATATCTAAGTATAAGACTGAAGAATTAATTCAAAAGCTTATTGAGTTTCTGTCATCGGCATGAAATAATGGAATAGTTTCACAAGAATTTTAAGATAATTCAATAATCTACCTTTATAAGTACAAAGGCGAGAGGTTTCAATGTGATAATCACAGTGGAATCTTTTTTCTCTCGGATGCTAGCAAAATCTTCAACAGACTAAAAATTTCAATCAGTGAAGCTATATTACCTGATATTCAATGGGCTTTTCGCTCCGTGCTAGGAATCAACAGATATTATTTTAATCAGAGAAAGCTGTAAGAAAAAAAGCAAACGTGTATGGCAAACTGTAGTGGACATTACCGAGGCATTTGACACTGTGTCCAAAAGGCCTTGTTTTAGTTTTTCTTTTAAGTTAAGGGTTCCATAAAAGATGCTGAATGTGATTTTCATTTCATGTAGGGATGCAGGCTTTAGTAATATCCAGCGGAGAGCAATCAAAGACATTTTAAATTTCCTATGGCATCAAACAAGTACGTGTTCTTGTTCCACTTTTGTTTGCCACTTTTTTACACTGTAATCTTGGCAAAAAAACATTTGAATATCTCTCTAAAAGTGTTGATGTCTAGTTGTACGATTTCTTGCACCATAATTTAATGTGCATTTAAATGTAGTTTAAAGCTTTTAAATATGTTCTCTAAACGTCCCGATCTTTAGATTATTTGCTTGGTTATAAAATCGAGGGGAGAATTTTAGCATAAAAATTGTTTCCGATAAGTCGAAGTTATAGCGTAACACCGGTGATTTGGACATCTGAGAAATATTTGTATTTGCGTGCAGAGGTTAGACAAGAGGAAGGGTTGAAGGGAATTCATCAAAGGAAGAATTCAGTTTTCAAAAGATAATTAAGTGCGTTTGTGATTCAAGATGTCACTTCCTGAAGACAGCCTTTTTGTCTCTATCCCTCAAGCATTATCTGAAAAGAGGAACAAGCATTATTATCAGTGCAATCCAGAATAAACGTGTCAGGACGAAATATATAAAAGCAAAAATAATGTCTCCCCTAAATTGTATTTCATTTTTTGAAAGATAAAATAATGGATAGCGGCTCGGATTGAGGAATCGGAGTACCGAGTTCGAATTTCGGTCGAGTTTATTGCATTCACTTACGTGCAAATACCTTTTTGGAAAGGTATGAATCCATTTCTTCTCCTTAGGACAGACGGCAAATAAATCGTTTAAGTAGATGCTGGCTCACTAGGTTATATATAATATATATATATATATATATATATATATATATATATATATATATAGTGATTTTCCAAGCGTAGTTTAGATGTGCCACAAGGCCTAAATTGTGGGGCACCCAGTGAGGATCGAATTCACTACTCATTCATAATTGTTCTAGCAAGACAAGCTTGCTAACCATTACACCGACTCGGTTACCCATATATATATATATATATATATATATATATATATATATATATATATATATATATATATATATATATATATATATATATAGAAAATGACACATAAATATAAAGATTCGATATTAGCTACTGAGGGAGACTGCTAAATCTATAAATATCTTTATAGGCTTATTTTCTATTAACTTTTATGATGAAAGATGAAAATGAGACAGAAAAAAAATTATTTGCATTGCAAAATGAAGAAGTCCGGAGATGTTTTTGTTTTCATTTTGTTTTCAAATAAATATCACACTTATATACATTATTAATTTTCTACTTCACTTAACACACCTGATTCATTTATCTTTACCTAGTGCTTGCAAGATTTTTAAAAAAAAAATTTCTCGCCTAATCATAACGTATTAAGACATAAAGATGTGTTTTCGTTTACTGGCTGCGAAGTGCAAGTTGGGGTCGATAAAATGTTAATCTCGGCGAGCATGAAAAGAAAGACAAACTCTGACGTACCGAGATTTACAAATAATAATCGTAAATATAAAGCAATGGTAAACGCGGGGCCGGTTATTGCTGGAGTGAATTGAAACTTCTTTGTATTCACTGTAGTTGTGACCTTATGTTGAACTAAACGGATCGGCTGGTAATAGCATAGTTGCTGGCCATTATTTTTACATGGGATCCATTTAAATCACGTTTCCCGCACGTTGGATTTAGAGGATGTCACTGTGATATATTTGCCTCGTCGTAGAGTAATGGTTAACAATTTAGCCTCAGAGATAATGACTACTGTCGGGACTTCAGTCATCATTGCGTATTTTACTCTTCTGGCTTTCTATCACGCCAATGGTAATGGTAATATTAACCGTTTCCTTATAACATATGACATTCATTAAGTTAACAGCCAGTGCCATAGTCGGTTGAAATTTATAAAATCTTAAAACATTTTTTTCAGCTTTCTCAACTCCAATAGCTGTTATCGCTCTTTCCAGTATTGATGGTAGTTTCCTTCCTAACCGTTTGTTTGTAGTTGTATGGAATGTCAACGTCTTAATTGTGATTATTTTCTCGTCAAATTACATGTGCTATCCATTTTAGTTGTTACTGCTGTTGAAAGTTCTCGAGTTATATAGTTTCTGTTATTTGGTAGAGTTCATTGTTTGGGATTTTGTAACGCCAGTCCAGAAGGCTTGAAAAAAGGATCTATATGTTTCATTCGCTTAGAGCCAATTTTAATCACTTATCTGAGAACTAAAGCTGACAGTTTAGATATTTCTGAAAGAGTTTGGCACTATGCAGTCTCGGCCTGATGAGACTGTTTAAAAACATGATTCTAGTTTACAGATTGATGTTTTGGTTTTGTAGCAACTTGCGGTGTTAGATGAAACTACCTCGAGATCATCATCATCATCATCATTTTAGCTTTAGTTTCCTTATCTCCTACGTTATTTTTTTTTTTTAATAACTGATCCATACTCCGAAGTATTTAAAGTGTTTGGTGCTTACTAAATCCACATCCTGAATTATTACCTCGAAAATATTAATACGCAGTCAGACAAACCTACAAGAAGAAAGCGAACTAAATTCGAGGCAGGCTTTCTTTTCTAGGCAAAATAAAAATAATCATTTGAAACTAACCATATTTTGGGGGAATCTGAATCTTGGAGAAGGTTGACGATAAAATGGAAATAAATACAATTATAAAATGGAAAAATATTGTTCACGGGTACATTTTCATTGATCTCAGAAATTTATGGCAGATTCGAATATTCAGCCATTAGTTAATCTTCTCAACGGCTTAATGGTTGTTATTGTTGTTAGTATTATTACTATTATTATTAGTAGCAGTATTATTATTATTAGCAGTATTAGTACTACTTTTATTATTATTATTATTAATAGTAGTATTATAAATATTTTATTATTACTATTAGTAGCAGTGTTAGTATTATTATTATTATTAGTAGTAGTATTTTATTATTAATAATAGTAGTATTAGTAGTAGTATTATAAATACTACTTTTATTATTAGTAGTGTTATTTTTAGTAGTATTAGTATTATTATTATTAGTAGTAGTGTTATTATTATTATTAGTAGTAGTAGTAGAAGTATTATTAGTAGTAATTTTTTATTGATTCGTTTTCTGCGGCTTATCGACACTTTAAAGGTTATTAAAAACCGTAAAATATTCTTAAACTGTAAAAAAAAAATCTTTAGATAATAATGGTTTAGTGATAGAAATCTTACTAATTAACCCATAGCTGGAGGAAAAAACAGGTAGACTCATAACTTTCCAAAGAGTATTTGCGCGTAAGTGAATATAACGAACCCTCCGGGAAGTGGAACATGGCTCTCCGTTTAACAATTCCGAGCCGTTATCGATTACATCACCCGCACATCCAAGCTTACAGCACTTGTTATTCTCAAACAGTCACCCATCTAGGTACTTATCGGGCTTGACGTTGCTTAACTTCGATGATCATACGGGAAGCCGTAAGGATATTATTAGTATTATTATTATTAGTTGTTGTATTTGTATTATTATTAGCAATAGTACTAGTGCATGACGCGTGGGCTTGTTTATAAAAATACTTTTGATACTGAAATGAATAAAAAATATTTGGGCATCCTGTTAAATGTCACAATAAAAATGAGTCTTTCCTAAACTTACGCCTGGCTGCAGTTACTCTGCGAAAATAGTGACAAGCAGATTTATAATTTGAGTTTTATGACTTGTTATAAAACGAAAGAAATATTCCCCACTTGTTAGCTAGGGTTTTAGCTTTACAAATAAATAAATATCCTTTATATGCACATGTTGTTTTTATGTAAGGGCAATTTGAATTTAGGGGTGAAATCTAGCAAATGCTGGCAACTCTTCCTGTGTATTTCTAGGTTTTTCATAGGTTGTATATAAATATATTTAATGATGTGATTTTTAACGCGCGAATTATCTTGTTTTAATCCAGGTAAGGATATTTTTAAGCTAAAAATCTCTGCATAAAATCGATAATATATTTTCATGATTTCTATATGATGCAGTCTTTTAAAACCAAAAATTATTATCCAAATTGTTGAAGAGAAAAAATGATGTTTGGGCAGCATAAAGCTTATCGGCGCTGCAAAACGGAATCAGCGAGCCGAGTTCAAATTGTGATATATTTCGTTAACTTTTGCACTCATGTCCTCGGGAAAGACATGAATCTATCTCTTCTGTCCCTAGTTATAGGTTAAATAGAAGGGTAGATAGGGTTCTCTAACTTTGGTAATCATCTGTATAAGAGCAGCCAAACTTTAAATTCCAAACCACGGAGAAAGCAATGGAAATAGTACTCCATTATCTTTCCCAAGAAGTCATGAAAATTTATAGATAATAAACTTGATCTAAAGATATCTATAATCGCTTACTCCCTTAATGAACATTGCGTCAAAAAGTGGGGGTTAAGCTCAATTCAGATTTATTTGATAACCCTGCTTACTAAATAGCGTGGCTACAACGTGCAAAGTTACTTTGTAACGTTGTAAATTCTAGGTTCAGTCCCGTCCTGGGTATGACGATAAACTACATCCGCGTCCTGGGTAAGACGATAAACTACGCCCAAGAGCAAGGCCTCTGATCAGGAGGTTTTGAGGAGCGTGGAACCACCTCTTAATTGCTGGTGTTCTCAGTTCCACCTTGACCTAGGGTGGTAGCACTTGTTAGGGTCCAAGCTATGGGCAAATAGTTAAACACCGAACTGGGGTCAAAATACTATGAAAATGTAAAAATAGGTTTTAATACTAGAAATACGTTGTAAAGAATTATTACCAGCAATAAATTTTTGAAGAAAAAATTATTACCAGCAATACATTATTACGAGCAATACAGTTTTGAAAAAAATGTATTATCAGCGATACATTTTTGAAGAAAAAAATATTAGCAGAAATAGATTTTTGAAGGAAAAAATCTTACCAGCAATAAAAATTTTGTTAGCATTAAATAACCCATTGAGGTTGATATGCCGTAAAACAAAACAAACTAAACCAAACCATCTAGGTTCAGTCAAATTTTTGTTTTTCGTATTTCAATCTTTAATCTATAGTGCAAACAAATTACATACGAAAACCAAAATATATTCCATCATATTCTATTGTCTGTTGCTTTCGATGTGTCAGGAGATCAATTCCACGCTTGTACTATTTGGCTGGTTTAGAGACAAAAAAAAACCTCCCTGCACCCGTTTTCAATCTCATCCACATTGTTGGAGCTCCGTCCGTATAGGAAATGAACCATGGTTCGGAAAATGTAGTAATCTGATGGTGCAAGGTCTGGACTGTAGGTAGGTTGATGCAGCACTTCTAGTCCCTTCAAGTTTACGCTTAGTCATATTGGCAGTGTACTCTGCAGCACTGGCATGTTGTAGGAGTGCACGTCTTCGACTGACCAATGCCTGGTAGCGGGCTTTGAAAGCATCATATACTCGCTGCAGTTGTTGAGCATAACGGTCAACGTTAGCAACAGGACCATCTGGGACAAGCCTGGGAAATTCCACTAAATACACAATAATGAATTTCTGTTTAAACAACCCTTGTTTGAAAACAAGTTCTGAAGACTGAATGGTACAAGACCACTGATTTCCCTTATTAGGATTACTAAATTAATTATTCATCCCCAGTTACAATTCGATACCAAAATCTTGGGGATTTGCCAGCAATTGTTTGCAAATTTTCCTATGTCGTTGTGCCTGGTTATTGGTCAGTTCATGAGAAACATCTCGACATCGTTTGATGACAAGGTCGAGTTTACTGCGTTGTTAATTGGTGGTGCGTTGTTAAGGACCAAGTTTTGCCGACAGTATATAAGTGCCTGTGCTTGGCTGCTGTTCAACCATTTCAAAAAAGACCTCGTTTTCCACAACAGAATGTCTCCCTGACCATGATTTGTCTTCGAGGTTGATGTCACTTTCTTTGAATCATCTGGAGCAGTTTTGTGCCACACATTCATTAACAGTCCTTGGCCCTTCAACGTCATTAATTTCTTTTGCCACTGCCAGTCTTTTTTCCACAACTAGTGTAAAATGGCTCCAATTGCAATTTTCTCATCAATGACTATCAAAATAAAGAATAAACAATTAATGAATATAAATTATATATGAAAATAAAGAATTAACTATCAGTGATTGGATAATAAGTTTTATTAAATTAATGCTATATCATGGAGATACAACGTACCAAAAATCATCTATGAAATATCCGAAAAAGCTTTTGACTCATCCTGTTACGTTACCTTGTAACGTTACTCTAACAGAAAATAGATAATAAATTTCAGGGAGATATTAAAACAAGCCTTATACCGTCTATACATATGATCTTATTTGACCAGCGGACATAACGTTATCACAACGTCGGCGATGAGCGATCAGTTTGGTATGTGGAAATTAGTCGATTGCAACGTTACACTAACACCAGCGGAAGGTCCCATAACCCCCAACCAAGATACAACTTGTCTGCGATGTTGGACGAACGTTCCGAGTTAGCTGGTTCGAATCACCTGTACGACTGTATGTGGCGTCATCGAGAGAGACGCCAACCATCCACCATAAATACTTCGGGCTCGTGGGATTCTATCATCATAGACGTGTTAACCAACATGAACAAAACCAATTAATCACTGCATTCACTTTCATACGTGACCACTTTAAGGCCATCCTTCAGTTTGAAGGTTGTTTTGTTCAATAAACATCAGTTTTATTGTTAAACATATGTACATATTTTTTAAATCTATCTATATTTTATTACTTCAGACGTTATTATAGTGAGTACTTGCGCCATTTCTGTTTACTTTCAACACTTTGTAGACCCACATCCTCAGAACGTACCCGCAGTGTAACCTTGCAATTATTACTTGTAGCATTAACGGCAAATGGATAATAATTTCCCCAAAAATAGAACGAGCATTCATTATGAAAAATAGCGATTCTCAATTAAAAGTACGCAAAGGAATGTTAGACTTTTTATACAAATTGTTAAGTGAAGAAAAAGTATTCTGATGTTATTTGACCATTGCTGAATTTTTCTGCTACAGCAATTCGTAACGTTACCATAACGCTGTCACAACATAGAAAATGAGCGGTCAGTTTGAGGCCAGGAAAATTATTGATTGCAATTACTACAGTAACGTCGACACAACGTCAAAATCACTTCCAACAAAAAATAAAACATCTCTGTAACGATGCAAGAACGTTCCGTGTTAGCTAAGAAATGGTTAATTTCGGTAAGTTTTGTCTTATACATGGTCACACGAGCGGCGAGATTAACTTGAAACACAAGTCACTTCCATAAAAGTAATATGTTGCAACAATCTTCCTAATATGAAAAGTAGGTCTATTTTAAATCTCGGCGCCTGTAAGAAGTTTGTGTTTAACCCTTATAATAAACTTTTTAAAATTTTTTTAGGCGTAATATCTTTTCAGGACGTAAATAATCATGGCTAGTCACAACTTCCTTTATTGTTATGTACCGTATATAATCGAGTTTTTATGATCAGTTTTTTATTCAAAAAATAGGTGGTCGCACTATACACAAGTATTATTTTTGATTAGTTTAAAAATCATGCATTTTCGGTGATCAGCTGCACTATATACCGGTAAAAAATTTTCTGGAGGGGTTAAAATTCATTCATAAACAACAGTGATCACACTATGCATGAAGTCGTCTTATACACGATTATATGCGATAACTGCTGAATGTTTACCATCTCTGCCATTGTTCTGCTCTCCATTCATACACACATTTCCCTATGCTTCTCTTGCTTTCAATTTGCCCTGTGTGTTAGATTGAGGACATCAGTGTATGAATTTTTGGGGACTTATAAACCTCATGTCTCAGTAAGGATTTTTTTTTACCAGGGCTCATATTACAATTTTGTTATTATTGTTTTCTCTATCTCTCCGTATTACTGGTTCTCATATTGTATTCATTTCTATGCTTGGTCGGCTTACAAGATTCTTGTGACCAAGATGAGGGCAACAGTCCAATGTAAATAGTGTAAATAATTACAATAATTCAGAAATATAGATATCCATTCTGTCTTTTCACAATTGATAATTAAACTTTATTTGAAAATATAAAATTGTAGTCATGTGGATTTGGGATTGTCTCGTCAGTTCTTTCTTCCTTTACTAAGTTATGTTAAAGTAAGAATAGGATTCAAGGTGATTTGACGGGGGTCGAATCCTAGTAATGATATACAGCAGGTGGAATCTATTTTTCACTTTTTCGCTTCATCAAAGATTCTTACGCCCATATTGCGTTGAAAGAATCGCGAAAATGGACATCGACAGAGTTATCACGAACACAAACGTGATTAGATCAGACGAAGGGACGTAGAGATGGAGAAGCATGTTCCCTCATATCCTGGGGGAACAGGAGATACGATGGCTGATCAAAATGTATCGGGACTTGTGCTATAAAAAAAAACTACAACACATATCAATTCGACATTTAATCTCCTTCG